CTTTCCCTTCAGCTGTAAGGGAGAATTCCCCAGTACCATCCCTCTTTAAAAATTCCCTATCCAGTGAAAACCAGTGCTGGTTTTATTTTATTAGGCAACTAAAGCTCTGTTCTGGCCCAAATTAAGGTCGCTTTTTCTCCATGGTATCTGCTTCAGTTTGACTTGAGCTTTATTAAGCACAGGTAACAGACTCTGTATTTTCATCAGTGCCTTCTCCAACCGCACTGACACTTTCCTACCTTACAAATACATATTCTTACACATCATGTAGTATGTCCTTTTATTTCTGAATATAAACTTGTGTCCTTTTAGTTCTGACTAGGGACTTTCTCTCTTTATGAAGTTCTTGTTCTTAGTCCCCGTTTTCCATCTTCCACTTTTGCATTTTATCTTGGTTTTACTTTTCTGGTCTTTTAAGTTATACTGAAAGGACTGGAAAATACTCTGGCCTCTGTTGACCACATTTGTGTCAATAACCAGGGTTGTGCTCACTTCTGTCAAGGTAATTAATAAAAAAAACCCCACAAACTATTCAACTGCTATTGCCTCCTCCAAGTCAACTCCTTATACACCCGAGTTCTGGTATGAACCCCCTCTATTGCTTCCTAAAATAATCATTTCCTGCATGTTCTGAAAGAAACTGCCTTGAAGAAAGCTAGTTCATCTGACAAAGTCAGCTTTGGCACAGTAAATCTACTCCCTGCCTTGAATAATTAGTTTCTTCACAGTGTAGTCTAGCAGTGGGTCATGGTAAAGCTCAGGTTTTCCCATCGCAGCTACACATATGGATTTGTTGGCCTTGTAGAAGACACCAACTGCTTAGAATGATTAGTAATGAAATCTGTAAGAGGGATGCCACTGAACAAAACCAAGTGCCAGCCTGGTTTTAAATAGATGAAAACACCTACAAGCAAAAACCCCTCTCCTGTATTAAAGACAGGAAAAAATGTGTTTCTTCAGTCTTTTCACCTTGTGGTCCACAGGCCAGTCCACTGCTCTGTGCATAGCATCAGGATGATTTTGGGAGGAATCTGTGTAGGTTATTTCTGCCACTGTAGTTCTGCAGGAGAGGGCTTGTCATCAGAGTAGTGGGAAAAAGCAGGGACAGAAGGTCAAGAGGAAGAAGGAAAGCTCTGGCTGAGCTTAACCCTGGAAGGAGCACAGTGGGTAACAAAAAACACTGCAGAAAAAAGAGGACAAAGCCATTAGCACTCCAGGATGTGATGCTGCCTACAAGCACTGAGTAACAGAACTGAGGTTGTGCAAACTACCTGACAGTATCTCAACAAGGTTCAGAGTGAGTGTTGACATGGAGTGTCAGCAGCTATACCCAGCTGAAACTCAGCAGCCTCACTGGACACGGTCATACCCAGTTGAAAGAGAAATTCTGAGCTGCAGCTATTAAAGACATAGACAGGACAGCTTGAATTCTGTTGTGTTAGTTTAAAATTAGGTCAGTTATTTAGGTTTCTAAATATGGCTTCAAAAGCCTAAATTTAGCCACTTCCTAAAAATCTTGGCCTGGGTGACGACTCTATGCATCTCCATACCCAACTTCAAGGACAGGGTGGAACTTCCAGAACTCTAAAGCTCATCCCCTCCAGAAATGTGTGTAAAATCCCAGCCAGGAATAGCCTGTTGTTGGCTCAAATAAACTGAAATCATTGTTACCTTTAAAACATCCTACTTCAAATGTGCGTACGTTCCAGAACAACCTCCCGACTCATGGTGTATCAAGAGCCATCCCAAATGCAGGTTAGATCAGAAAAAAAAGAACAGCAGTCATTAAACATCTGATGGTCACCCCAAAACTACCCCCCAGATCATCTGTACCCCATAGAAATTACTTCTACTCACTAAAACCACCTCAGAAGTTATGTAAACATCTTCATAAATCCAGGGTATGTCATTGTTATCTAAAGACATTTTCTAATGTCATGGTTTGGCTCCATTTTGATCCATAGTATTGGCAACATCTTTATTTCCATTTCAAATGCATAGCCCGTGTCTTTGCCAACACTTAGGGAGGGATTACAGTGGATGCATACATAAGTGCTGGCACAAGCAAGCACTCTGAAGACAGCGTTCATCATTTGTCATTGTCTCGAGCTAGTTTAAGTGTTAGAAACACAAGAAAAGAAAGAACAAGTCTTTTATGGACTCTGAAGAAGTACCTTCTAACGGCACAAAACTTAAATCAAAGCCAGAACTTAAACCCTTGAAATTGAACTGCTGAAAACCTTGAATTTCAGAGTGGAAGTCTTTTCTGGAAACTGGATACTAACCCACCAACCACGTTAGGAAAAAACAAGTGCAACGACAAAGGCAAACCTCAAAAGTATGGACAATTTAAAGATAAGGGGAAAAAAGCTATTTCTGTTGAT